AAGACGCAATTTTCCCAGTGATTTAAAAATATCAGATAATTTCTTAATTTCTCAACGAGTCACATATCATTGTCTTCCGTGTGAAGTCAAGCTCGAAATTCTTGAGTACACCTGAAGGTCCCTTCGCTTTTTCTAGATACGACATTCTTTCTGATGGCCCAAACGGCATTCCACTGAAGTACGGCAAAGTGGGTGAAACGGTCTACCATAAATGGACGTGCGTCTCGGAGCTTACAGACGTCTATTGCATGCGTGTCCATTCATGTACCGTATATGACGGTCAGGGTGGTCCTCCTGTAACCGTACTCGACGTCAATGGGTAGGTCTCAGCACGAAAACCCTGCGTTAGAAACTTCTAATTGCTTTTTGCAGCTGCTCCGTGGATGGCGTATTTTACAGAATCTCGACTATATCGATGATTTGACCGCTGGTAAACCTGCTCAGGTAAGTATATTCAGCAAATTTAAGGAGTTCAGATTTCTAATAGCAGACAAATTCCAATGGTTTTTTAAGGTGTTCAAATTTGCTGACAAAGCTGGGCTTTATTTCAACTGTCAAATTGAACTCACAATCAAGGACAAGCAGTATGGATGCAGTAATGCGGTGAGTCCTTATCCGCTTTTTGCATACCTTATGCTCACCTAGTAATGTTTGTGAGGTCGGGTTAGGCCAGTGGTTACAGACGTTCGTTAAAGGAAGTAGGTACGGAAAGGAATTTTCACATCTGCGGAGAACCTGCTCCCCACAGAGCAATTAGCAGGCCGCCAAGGAAGCGATGTGTGGCGCTTCCACTGCGAACAGTGCTGTGGTTGCTGAGCAGGACCATTGCGCCCTTCCGCCCCATGCGCCGCCCCGCCCACTGGTTTTGTTGATGATCTGGATGGACTGATTGCTGTTGGCTTTTCATTTTGGATGATCTTTTCCCATCTAGCGGCTGTATCTTCCAACTTGCCCATGTTATTGCCTTATCAATCGAAACACTATGCTTGTTGGCATGATGGCGGCTATCGGGGTTAACACGTCCGAACAACGTCAGTTCTTTACCGTCGCTCATCCATGGTCGAAAATGAAAGGGCAATCAAAGGGGCACTATTTTGCTTATTTTTGACGGATTTCTTTGCTTTTTTCGCCACTGATGTACTATTGAGGACCCCCTCGTCCCCTCCAAACCACATTTAAACCTAGCGTAACCGCTGCCTTTAAGGATTTTCACTTTCACAAGATCTATCCCATTCAACGCAATAGCTGTGGGCTGACCTCTATAGAAGGATGAGTAGAACTGGAAGCAGAAAGGCATAGCTCTTTTTTGGAGTGCGTATCGCATTTGACTCACATCTAAAATCGTATTGGCAATTGAACTTGAGTTTTGCCTTTATAATGGCTTGCGTGGGCCACCCATTGTGAAGGCCAGCGTGTTTAATTCTTACAGGCAAGTCTGGCACCTAATAAGCGTTCTCCATACAATGAAAGGATTAGCTGGGCTTAGCGTAATTCGATACAGGATCCGATCCACGAACCAAGCGTTTTATGGCCACTTACACACTTCCACATTCGGCCATTATAAAGAGAGCAAATATGGGACTGAAAAAAATCACATGTCTTCCTTAGAGTGTCTTTGAAAACATCAGATAAGTGGGCAATAAGCTGGAGATAAGATCTGAAAAACTTCGCTTGTCATTCTGATCCATTTCTAAGAATCCCATTCACATTGTTCCAGAACTCGTGTTCAAAACAGGGTGAGCCGATTTTCAGGAAAAAGTCGGCGAAATCAACCCCCTCCTTCTACCCAAGAACCTCACATCCCTCCTCCGCTTTGAAGTGGTACTCGCATACCATTCTCCACTCTCGCTATAATGAATAGTTGGAATAGTTGAGCAGTAAAAATCAGATTTCTCTCAGGGAACTGCTCGACTCGCCTATTTAACGAACTATACTTCTCACTCCAGTGATACAGGCCGCAGGTTCGACCCATTATTACCTCTCCTCCAGAAAAGCAAGACCATTTTAAAGTAATCGTTGACGCTAACTCATCCTTGAGGGCCCTTTTTCGTTTGAAGGCAAAAATCAGAATCAAATTGTTGTGATAATCCAACTCGAATATAAAAATAAGGATGGAAAGGTAGTGTTAAAAAAAGGAAACGTAGTCTAACGCCAATGTATGATCCTTTGCTCTCCACTTTGGAGAAGTCTAGGAACCAAATAGCGAGATTGATAAGTAATATAAATCGCGTAGAGGGAAAAAGAAGTTCGAGTCTAGAGAGCATATTAGATCAACATCTTGACGTCCAAAAGATGCTATATTCGAATGTCCCGAGCAACGGACCCTTCTACAGGATGGCTAAAAAAAGTGACATTCACTCCCACATTCGATCACATATATCACAATTTGCAATACAAATCGACTGCCTCCGAATTTGATTATTAAAGAGCACCTTTTAATCTATCTAAACCTTACATGACAGCCTTCTACACCGACGACATCAGAAGATTTTCCCACGGAAACATGGTTCGCGGTACGAGCTCAACGAGGTCGTCGAGGTACCATAGACCATTACGACGTCCCTGAAACGCTGGTCAAAAGCGGTCTTGCACAGTCACAGCTAGTGTCTCTTAGGAAGCTATTCACCAGTTAATCGGTTGAAGAAATTATGTAGCAGCTTCAGGCCGGAGCGATTACGGTAAGCCTCGTTGAGCTCGACGGTGGCGGCAGATGACGTCATATTCTGAAGACGGCGGGGCAGTGAAGGAGGGCCTGCTTCTGTTTACGGGGGAACACCTAAGGAATATTCCTCCGTAAAACTTTCGTTAACATCGGTTTCCTGTGCGACAAAAAGTTCGATGATGTGCGCCATGGTTGGCCACCCCTGTATATAGGTTAGGTGGGTCCGAGCACTAACCAGGAAAGTTTTTCAGGATGTGGAGTTTTTCAGGATTCTCCAGGTTTTTCAAAATGGTTTGTTGCGTGTCCATAAGGGATGTGCGTGGGGCATAAATCTGATGGTCGTTTTTTTTCTTGAGCGGCCCTGGGATTGCTAGAAAAAGGGCAGAAATTTTCCGAGAAGTGAAACTTTTCCATTTTTAATAAACTCTACAGCATTTGTAGAGTTGAATAGTTGCATTTTGGAAGCTTTTTGTTCACTGAATAAGTTTAGACATATATGAGCCCAAGAAAGTGGAAATCAGAGAAATGCAAAAATTTGTCCTCAGTGGGGATCGAACCACAAGTCATGCTTCCGACATTTTTTATTGTCTGGTTAGAATTATTGTCTAGTTTATGCTCCCTGCGCGTATCTCTATAGCATGCAGAAAACTGTTTTGAAAAAGCGCTCCATGTCCTGAAAGACTTTCCTGGTAAGCGCCTGGCGGCCTGCTGGCGCATCTAGGAGCGCGGAAGTGGCGTGACCACTGCGCTAACGGACCAAACACCTCTCTTCAGGGCAGGGACTTCTTCAGTAAGGCTGACCAGACTGTTTCACAAGAATGCTGGGTTGTGAACAAAACTTTCGCCGCAGGCGGGACTTTAGCTGACCAGACTTTTTCCTTCAATATCCCAACTGGAAAACGCAGGTCTGATTTTTGTTGCGAGCATAGATCCAAAGCTATCTGTGAAATCACTGAATTTTATCGTGAAGGCATAAACGGGAGAATCCACGAGCATCAAACCCTCCCACTTATCTGTCTACAATCGCTGCTGCACCCAGATCTTCGGACCTCAAGACAGGGAACCTCAAGGCTCATGAAAAGAGGTGAGAGGAGGTTATAAAGAAGATCTCAAGATGTCAAGGCTGGGAAAGAAGATACCCCGGTAAAACGGCAGCGGTGCACCCAGTGGGAATAATGCAACGAAGATGAAATCGAGAAAGAACGATCATTTTTCGACATAGCTTATTTGATAGGTTTCACTATGGAATATAATACAATCTTCTTTATAAAACCTGCGGCAAACTTCGCTTAGAGAGCAGGTTTCTGGGGCACGGAAGGAGCTAAAACTTGCTCTGTATTCACCTCGTGAGAACCCGTGGGTAATGTGGAACACAAGACGTGGAAACACCTCAACAGCATGTTACTCTGCCAGCAACTTTTTTTCAACACTGAAAAGGTTTCATACACATCCAGGGTTTCTCTGTGTTTGAACTTCTCACCAATGGGGTTAGCATTTACTTTATGTTGTTTCATTCACGTCGTCGGAATAGTCATCGATTTTCGAGGTGAGACCAGGGTCAACCGTCGTGTTGCACTTTTCCAAAAATTTTGCTACATCGGAAAAAAAGCCAACCAATTTTGTCTTTTTGCCTCTACTTCCATAAAACTTTCGTCACTTCTCTAAAAATCGTTACACTGTTCACACAATTTGCGGAGGTGGTTGACCTTGCTCAATCACAAAATTCGCCCCTTCCCCAAAATCACAGATGTGACCACGTTGTCCAGTAGTGCGGAACCGACGGTTGACCCCGAGTGAGACCCCTGTTCTATCTGTGGGTCACCGTCACGTTCACCTTGCACTCTCCTCAAAGAATTCTCGTCTCGAACAGTGTCGGAAAGAGAAGAGGCGGCGTCAGTATGAAGGAATTATAATCTATGATTAATAGGGCTCCTATTACGAAAAGTGGGCACTCTTTCTTCAGAATCCATCGGAAGTATATGAACCTTCTTTGGAAAAGAAGAACTATTTTACGAGTTGAGTTCATTTCGGAAAATCGTGTCTCGCTTCTCACACATTTTTATCCCCTTCGTCCGTTTGCAATCCATGGCAAAGAGGGTAGTATCAGGTAAGAATCTCTGAACGTTCATTTAGCAGTCCAAATTGTCGAAAAATATAGACCCTGCAGAAGGTGGAGCCATTCATCTGTGCTGAAACGTGACCACATGGAGAGGTGATCATGGATATTTGCAGCGCACCAATGAGCAGCATACTTCAGCGAAATCTAAACTAACCTCCCTTGGCGATCCCTCACATAAGTTAGCTATTGAAGAACCATTCCAGCTGATTTCCTATCAACACAGCCTATTTCCCATGGAAGTGTGAACACGGCGGTTTCTCTTAATCGTCGATGATTAACCGCGGCCTTGACTGTAGCTAAGATTTTTTGGTCGTCCATGAAGTCAGGACCATCAGCAATCGTTCTCAAACATTCTTTTCGGATCTAGCCAAGCGCGTACTGCTCGCTGCTACACTGATTTCGGATCCCTTCTAATTTTAACAATCGAATTTTTGGTGAATTCAGCCATGAATTGCTCAATCAAAACGTGTGCTGATGAAACACACATACAGCAAGACCTCTAGCCTCAGGCTTGCGCCTTTATCAGCTAGTCGATACCTACTTAAAAACGACGCCGTCCGTTATGTTCCAACCCTTCTTTCCGTATGGCCGATCACGCTCGTGCTGGCTGGTGGCGCAACGATTGCATCCATTGTTAGTTTAATCGCCTCGCCAGGGAAAGTTTTAAAGGCCAGCTCCGGGGTAAAGTGGAGCGTTCATTGAAAAGCTGGAGGGAATTGGCCTGGAAGAGAAAAAGAAAGCTAAAAGAACCCCCGATTACGCCCCGAGTAAGGACCTTCACTACTTCAGCCGCTTTACACACAGGGGATTGAGAAGTTACGTTGACGAGTTACCCAACCTTAGGCCGCAGTCATTGGCACTATGCAATGCATGGCCGCTGTCGCAACTGCGATCCACGCGGGCTTTTCGCAATGCCAACTTAGCATTTGACAGTGGAAGGCGGGCCTTGCGAACGAGTTTGGATTGGGAGTCGCAGGAAATTGCCTCTTGTATCACCCATCTTCTGATCTCAGAAGGCTGAGCATCAAGTTTGTCTCCTCTCGACAACGATCGGAGAAGGTAGGGCAGGCGTGCTGATCTAATCCAGGACCTGTTACTCAGGTGAATGTACCAAATCTTCGGATCCCATGAACCGGGGTGTACGAAATGAAACGTTAGCTGGTTATCTCGACCACTCATGTGCATATTATTGTTCTATTATAGAAGGGGGGGGGGTCAAGGTAGGCAGTGCAGTCTTTTCCGCTCTGAGCCGTTCCTTCGAGATCCAAGCTCCAGTATATAAGGTTCATTGATATGTACAATGACACCCACGAAAAGCATTCCCAACGCCGAAAATGGCTGCGAGAAATGGTTGATCAAGTAACTCTGTGTTGTCTTACTAGTTTTTGAGTTTCCCCAGGCTTATATTGCCATGAAACAGGCTATACATGCAGATCGCAAGCCGCTCCCCCGTACATATAAATCTACTAAAATAGGCCCAGACCATTTCACCGATTATAGGTGACCAGTTTAGCTCCGCCCGCTACCGCGCGCATGACACGGAAGCCTCTGACAAAACTGACAATCGGTGAAGCTTTGGGTTTCACCGCTTAACTATAGCTGCTTCCTTAAATGCATTACTGTCCGTTGCTCATCTTGGCTGTATCTCACTGTTTGATAAGCGCAGTGAAGTGCACAGCTAAAGTGATGTATGTAAACAACCACCATGCATCGAGTATCGAGGTAATTTAGCGGTCGAATAATTTTTGATGATCTCAAATTAGAATGCCCCAGTATTCACTATCGTATTTATTCGAGCATCTCATTCATCCTCAAGAACTCGAGAAGGTGCAGCGGTCGAAAGGTGTTTGAGTTTACAATTATAACGCTAATGAAATGATATTGAAATGAAATGCACTATCTGCAATCTGGTTTCGAGTGATCTCTACGTTCGTACGCATATCATTACTATTAGTCCTCAGCTGTCGTTATCACTTTTTGAAAACCACAAAATATGTTACCGTCCCACCCCCATATCATGTCCCCAAAATCAGTTCCTGACGACTGCTGCGAAGCGCACTATATATTTCGTGAAATTTGTGTTTCAGCGCCTCTTATCTGCTCTTATCAGTCGTTATCACTTTGTGACCCCCACCAAATATGTTCCCGTCCCACCCCCTATATCATGTCCCAAAAATCAGCTCCTGACGACTGCTGCGAAGCGCACTATGAATTTCGTGAAATTTGTGTTTCAGCGCCTCTTATCTGCTCTTATCAGTCGTTATCACTTTGCACCCCCCACCAAATATGTTCCCGCCCCACCCCCTATACCATGTCCCAAAATCAACTCCTGACGACTGCTGCGAAGCGCATTACATATTTCGTGAAATTTGTGTTTCAGCGCCTCTTATCTGCTCTTATCAGTCGTTATCACTTTGTAACCCCCACCAAATATGTTACCGCCCACCCACTATATCATATCAAAAAATCAGCTCCTAACGACTGCTGCGACGCGTGCTATGAATTTCGTGAAATTTGTGTTTCAGCGCCTCTTATCTGCTCTTATCAGTCGTTATCACTTTGCAACTCCCCACCAAATATGTTACCGCCCACCCACTATATCATATCAAAAAATCAGCTCCTAACGACTGCTGCGACGCGTGCTATGAATTTCGTGAAATTTGTGTTCAGCCGCACTTATGAGTTTCGTGAAATGTGTTCTCGGCGCCTCTTATCTGCTCTTATCAGTCGTTATCACTTGGTGACCCCCACCAAATATGTTCCCGTCCCACCCCCTATATCATGTCCCAAAATCAGCTCCTGACGACTGCTGCGAAGCGCACTATGAATTTCGTGAAATTTGTGTTTCAGCGCCTCTTATCTGCTCTTATCAGTCGTTATCACTTTGTAACCCCCACCAAATATGTTACCGCCCACCCACTATATCATATCAAAAAATCAGCTCCTAACGACTGCTGCGACGCGTGCTATGAATTTCGTGACACACGCACACACACACACACACACACGTACAGACAGACATAGCGTTTTATATATAGTAGGGATAATCGTTTGAAGATTGAATCGTAATATAGCCTGCATCCGATAGCGAAGCGTCGTCTGCGAGTGCACAGATTAGCGCCCCTATCCAACCAGGGTCAACCGTCCGTTCGAACTGTTCGAACGAAGGGGTCGCATTTTGGTCGGAAGGGGGTCGCAATTTCGAGGACTGCCAGCCACAGGCGCGTGCGTGGCGTATCCGAGGGCAAGACTTGCTTGTGCAGACCGCATTAGATTCGATTTATTATGCACAGAGAGGCAGTTTTAGGCAAATTACAGTGTTTTCTTAAGGAGTAAAGAACAGTTGGATGCATCCCTATGAAAGGTTTGACTTCGGGGCTGAAATTAAAGTTCTTCGGGACCTAATTTTCTGAGGACGATTCTTCCAGACAACGGTAAAACATATAAGAAAGCAGAAATCTCGTAGTCTTCAAAAATGTCTTCGCCCCTCCCCAACAAGTTCTTTGAAGGAAGTTATTATTGCTGAAAGCTCAAAAACTCGCATGTGCTGCTCAAAAACCTATGGGAACAAAATGTTCGAACGTGTGATTTTCTCGGAAAATGGATTTTGAAAAACGGTTTGGGCTTGTTAGAAAGAGCAAATCCTGTACTTTCACCCCATGAAAAAGTGCATCACAGAAATGAAAATGAAGTGAGTTATGGTCGCTGAAAGCCCAAAAACTCGCTTTTGCACGAAAAATGTTCGAACGGGACAATTTTTTGAAAAAGGGGACAATCACTAAACTTTTTATACTATTTTGTTAGAGAAATATTTGAAGTTTCTGAAACTTTTCACAGATTTCCAAAATGTCGCATACGAAAGATTTTATGGGCCTTCAAAGTTGGAGGTGCGCCTTCTCAGAATTTTGGGTTTTCCGCTTCTAACAGAAGTACTTTCCGGGAGAGTTAGGCAATCCTTGTAGTTTTCTGGAAGCGCACCTCAGGCACAATCAAAATCTACCTCAACAAGTCAAAAAAAAGTACGTTCCCAAGAAAAGTTGATTGCCCTCTAAAAATTTTCCTTCGCCGCGTCCCGTTCTTCCAGCGCCCGGGTGATACCTGCCGCGCTCCCCAAGGCTGACGCGGCAACGCAGGCGCGCTTTCTAGCCGCAACGGATTCATGACTAGCACTCTTATTAACAAAAACATCAAGAGCTAGGGGGTCGCAAAAGTCCCGAAAATGTTCGAACGTGACGCTTGACCCTGGGTACCATACTGCATGAGAGATAGTCACCACAGCCAAACGACAAGGTTCCTAGCATCCACTAATGTTCCTCCGAGTTCTTCATACGTCAAGAGCTGATATAGGATTTCGCTAGAAATAGGGGAGTGATGGCTTGAAGAGTCCCATGATTTTTGAAAGCTTATTGTTCTGACTTATGCTGTAATAGGGTTTAACCCTTCGATTTCACGCCGACCTTCGTGTATTTTTCGACGAATTTGAAACTAAATGACACTGGCACTTCCGGATGAAGTAATTGTCAATACTTTGTCTCTGCGTTCAAATGTGCACGCGGGGAGGGAGGGTGGCAGAGGAACGGTCAGCTAGAAATCAGCATAGGACTCAGCTGATAGAAGCGGAAAGGAGCATAGGAGTTTCCGAAAGGAAAATTCGAAACTTTCCGAGCATCCCCTAATCTATCCAGCTTAGTCACGACAGAGCCGCGTTAGTCCCGAATGTTAATAGTGTTACTTTACGACGGCAACCATTCGTTGCGTCCGCAACCACCCGCCCCACCAGTGCCACGTTTAACGCCTTGGAACCTCTCACTTAAAGGTTGACCAAATTAGCCGATTTTCAAATAGATTGTGTGAGCGAAAGCGCTGGTTGGGCCACAGCTCGAATACTTATCTTTTATCAACATAAACGCGGTTAGCATTATCCATAAATAGACAAGCGATACCGGAGGTCCGTCATGAGATTGCCTGCGACTGAAGAGTGCGACTTCTTTTCAAAGAGATATTCTCAGGTAGAAGATTTTGGAGAGGGTTAAGGTGATGTTTATCATCTAATAGCCAGTTTTCTTTTCTAGCTTCCGCCAATGTGTCAAAAACGTACTGTGCAATCAATCCGCACAAACCACAGAAGTGGCTGTCTGACTACGACAAATTCTGGCTCACACGTATGTCTACCGAATCTGGCTATCCTACACGACCTTCAGCTGATTCCTCTAAAGGTATCAAATATTTCAGATTCTCTTTTGTGCCATCTTAAGTGGATGACGGTCTATTTATCGGGCACCTCCCTTTTCCACTCACCTTTCTTCTCTCTGAGCCTCTATCCTATAGATGAGGGTATTACCTGAGAGTGGAGCATAGGACCGTGAATGCTTTGAAGTTTCCGGCTCTCTAAAAATGAAAGCAAATGACGTGAAAAGTTCCACGGCACGGACCGTTGTTTTGCAAAACCGATCAGTATCGGTATGAATCAGGGTTGTAGACCATCAGTCCCACCACCTGTCAACCGTCTGAACTAATCCCCGGAGACATACGCGGGAGCGTGCCTAATTTCACAAGCGACAGCGAGACTGGATCTGAGTAGGAAGGTGGCAACTATACGCCCCGGGGTTAACGGCAGTGTTCCCCAAAAGAAGACTCATAAAGCACATCGCCTACTTTGCGATTCCACCCACGTAGCGCGGTCGTGTTGCGCAATGTACCATAAAATTTAAACACATTCAAATTGTCTTGCGTCTTTTCACACTGCGGGTCATTGCCGCCTCTATAACAATTGGCAGGAACTAAAGCTGATGGGAATCCCAACGCCCACATGGGGTCCTAAAGCGCTCATCGTGTAACTGTCCCTGCGCACAACGGTCATTCCCAGGCAATCTATGACAGCCCTAGTAGCAGGTGCAGATATACGCGGTGATGAAATGGAGTATCCGATCACTAACGCAGGGTATTCTCTCGATCCAGTCTAGACAAACCGCGTCTTTACACAAGATTCTTTCCAAGGCCAGATTGCCAAGATGTCTTTGACGGCCTACCATAACGGTAATGAGATTTGAATCACACTAAGAGAATAGAAACACCTGTGAAAGAACAATAGCCGGCCAACAAGGCGATAGATCAACAATCTCTATTGCAACGGCTGGAATTGTTTGTCTTTACCGAAGCCCATGAAAAAGTTGCTTCTATTTTCTGAAACTAAGGAGATTAGAATTTTCCTGAACAGCGACGTGGGACAGCAACCGTCTTCTCGCAGTGCGTCCAATGGCTACACTAGAGCGGCTTTTCGGAACCGCGACGTAAATCGAAGCCTAGCAAAAATTGTCCCTCGGCGACTGGAATAGGGATTTCCTTCAGATGGCGAAAGGATCAAGGTTGGGTCAAAACTGTGTGGATACGCATGGCGCCCCGAACTGTAATAGATAATCGCTACGTGCTTTAACACCTTTCGCCCGATTCGTTCGAAAAGGAACCCCCCCCCCAATTTTAACGCCGGGATGGATGGATGGCTCACACGCGCTGCGTCATTACCATCTGAAGCTAAGGGTCTTTTTTTGGCGTAAGGAGCAAACAGCGAAAGAAGTGAGCGAAGCAAAAGAGCGCCGGGAAGAGATGTCGTAAAAGAATAGAATTACAGATAGATAGGGGCAAGGAGAGGCATAAATACACGAGAGTAAACGAGTGAGAGCGTTCTTGGGTTACGAAATCTCCTCGTGGACGGAACCCCGGGTGCTTGGTGGAATCCCAAGTGCGTCCTTGAGGGCCTCTGCCTAGCAGTTTTGTGCGACGAATTTGGTATATTCTCCTGCTCTGTAGTTCTCGACCTGGTACTTCACCGGTAACTTAACCCTTGGACACCTCTCATAAATTCCATTAAAATAATTTCTATGTGTTCTTCTTATGAACATCAGCATTGTGGCGAATTATGTGACTCTCATTCTAAACGCTCCTAATCTGCAGTAAGTGAGAAACATGGTGAGCCTCAGAGAGTGTAATCAAAACTGTTAAGGATACGCATCGACGCCGATCCCAGGCTACGAGAGCGAGGAGCAGCGATATCCCGAACCGGCTCCCTTCAACGTACAGCCAGGATATGCCAAGGTGAGCTCTTATCCACGCACATGAGTCCTGCTTGAGGCTCAGTTTTCATTATCTACAGCTGGACGTGGGAAGCTCTCGACCACCCATCGGTGCTCCCGGAATCCGACCGACGTACAAGGATTTGCATCCAAACGAAACGGAAGCTGTTAGTTTTTTTTTGTTTTTTCAATAAACCTGAATCAATCAAAGCTTCAGGAAGGTTGTCCTAGGTTCCTCTGCTGTAGGGAAAAATTGACATGCTCGGTTTTTACACATATTGCTTACAGCTATGTTTTAGGAAATTGTACCGTGTGACTTGAACGGAAGGAATGCTCAGAACCGATTGGGAGAGCGGGAACGAGTGAGCCTTCCTGATGCTTTGATGAGTAGCACCCATAGAACCTCAACCCTTTAGCTTTCTGGAGAAGTGGAAAAAATTCAGTCTTGGGAAAAACTACTCCCTAGAAGCTGAAGAAGCTCACTTCCTTGCTAATCAGTCTCAGAAACACTTGAATATTCAAGAGGCTGGTCCTACTGGAGCTTTTCAAGGTCTCCCGTTCCGTTTGAACTCATCGTCAGTTGAGTTGGTCGATGAATAATCTTCTCGATTGTGATTTACAGCACCCAATATTTTCTCTGGAAGGTTCTTTAAGTTATGACTGAATGGTTCTACAGGGAAGTTTCGGGAGAAGGGGTCTGGGTGTTTAGCGAAGAAGATAGGGAAAAGGCCTCTAACAACCAACACGTACAGCACCATAGGGACACACTACCTTTAATACTCTTCTACTAGGGAACACATACAACCTTTTTATTCAACCCTCTCTCACTGAGGTCGTGAAATTGTAATGTTCCCTCTAAGGTTTAGAGTATTTCAAAATATTTCACTCGATTTTTAAAGCATTTCTTATCTCAGACTGTTCCGTCTGCTTACAACGACCAGAATGCTTACACGAGACTCATCAAACGCAACATCAAAGCCGCAAGTTCGACGTTTAACACGATTATTTAATATTGAATTGATGGATTTGTTTGACTTGGATTTTTATGAGTGGATTCCATTCAGCTCTTCAAAATCATTCGAAACCGATTGCTGTGGCCGACTTCGATTTACCCGAGCGTGGACTGATTGTTTTCGGTCTTGAAGACGGTAACGAAGAAGGTATGGAAGAAGCCTACATAAAACACTCTTCTTCGATAGCCTTTCCTTTTCAGATCAAGACAATGAGAATGCTGCTCACCTCGTCTCCCACGATCGAACGACAAAAACCTGTTTCACAACAAGTACGTCGAGACGTTGACTTTCCCAGAAATTGTCACCTTTTGAGCCTTCTGAACTTATTTCGTGATTTATACTGAAACTCGCCGATATGGCTGCGAATATACCCTTCGAACGGCGGGCGTCGTCATCCAAAGACTCAACCTTACTTTTATGTTCTTACTGTTCCTCTATTCGTTCACTATTTTCATGGTCCCAGAGCGACTCAGCGCTGCGTTTTCTAGAAATCCTTCTAATCCTACAATACGTGCAGGAAGCTTAAGTGTTCAGAACTATCTTCAATCGCGCCTTTCTGCTATCGGGTCAACATCTCGACTAGAATACCTGCGACTTAAGTAATGCTATAGGAGTAGTGTAGGGCAGCTCAAATCGCTAAATGGAATTCCCTGACCCCCCGAGTTTGATTTTGTTGCTGCTAGCAAATTTAGCTGAGTATACAAAGCACTTCATTTAAATGTACTTCGGCCAGCCCAAAGTCGTTTTTAGTAGTACATACCAAAGCAAATAATTGAAAGGTTGCTTGTGGTATGTATGCGTATCCCGAGCAAGGACATCTATAACTTCGTATATAAGTATTATTATACGAGTAAAGTAAGCAATAATAATACTTAATTCTCATCGAGGATTCGTACGAAATGACACACGTTGTATGGTTTCAGATAAAATGTTGGTGACGTCGGCGATGTGTGTGACGCTGATCATGGCACTGGTCGTTTCGTTGTCGTTGATCGTCTACAAGCAGCGTAAACTCATCTCACAGACCACCTACCTGAAGCATTAATCAAGCTCTCTATCTCTGCTCATCCACCCGACTGTCCGTCCGCCACCACAACGTGGCATCGTAATCGTCGTCATTGAAGTGCTTACGAATCCCTGTGATTGTATACCAGTTGCTTTCATTCATTTACTCATTTCATCACTTCAAATCACACGAGTCGTCTCTTCTGTCTCCTGTGCTTTAGCCATGATTTGTTGCCTCGTACATGTCGAGTTAGTGTGTGTGTTGTTGTGTGATCTATCGTAGATATGACTTGGATAGAAACACTTCAGCTCGGAAGCTCGAGAAAGTTCAGATAAACTGCTCTAAATGTGCTTCAGAGTTCTGACATTCCTTTCAGCAGAATTCTTGTAGCCCTGAAATTCCTTGGGATCCTCGGACGAAGGCCAAGTTGAATGGATTGGGTTGGAACATAATGTTATAGCGCTTACACATTCGACACAAACCAACGTTGAAGCAAAACATGAAAGCATAGTTATAATCAACCTTCACAGTGCTCTCCAATTTTAGCCTAAACCAAATAACTTGCTCTGGCAGGAATCCACGGGCCAATGGAAATTATTTTTCAATTATCTGCATTATGTTTATGAAGAGGAATCGGGACGATACGGAGCTTTAGCTTTCTCATAAACCTAGGCACCGTTATACCTGCAGAGATTTCTGCTTTCGGGAATCTTCCAAGTTTTCCTCTCACTTTAACATCTCTCCCTTTTATAAACTGAAAAACTAAATGTATAATATTAGGTACCGG